GTGGTGAGGCTGCTGATGGTGCACTTCAGGCTCTGCAGATTATCCAACACCAGCTCTCCAGCTAACAGAGAGAAATCCTTCAGACAGCTCCACTCCACTGCACACACACACACACACACACACACACACACACACACACACACACACACACACAGGTTAAACAGCCTGTTCATTATAAATCGATAGTTCCTCCTGAGATGATGTTAAGCTCCTATTAACCTTCTGTTTAGCCTCCGGCTGCCTTCATTGTTTCTGTTAGTGGAGATGAACTGCTTCTGCTCTCCGACACAATAAACACACAATAAACACACGATAAACACACAATAAACACACGATAAACACACAACAGCCTCACAAAGCTGATGAGAGTGAGATGGAACATTTCAGCGTCATTCACCTTCCCTGGAGTAAAAAGTGCACAAACATATTGTAAACTGTTGAGATCAGATCTACTGTCTTTGCTGATGTGGAATCCACAGACGTCACCAGCCCTGGACTAACTGGAGATATTCCACAGTTAACTGATCACTGGACTCGTGTCCTCTCTGCTCTGTCAGAACACCGCCTGCAGTCCACCTGAAACCTGATGAACTGGTCACACCTGAATCACTGGTGACCGAAATTATTCAAAGTTCTCCCCAAAACGTAATAGTAGAGTCACATATTGTGTCATTTAGGCCAGATCCCCACGTCAGAGGGGAACAATCCCCATGACCGCTTTCAGGTTTTACGGTTTGTGGCAGATCAAAGGTGTTCTGATGATTCTTCAGAGTCACTGATGGGTTCAGAGGCTTAAAACTCACATTTATACTTCTGCATATTGATGACTTTTAATTTGAAGCTACGTTTTGCTCATAACTTATTTATTTTTATTGTTTAAATACTGGCGTACAGTTTATCATGATCGTGGTCTCAAATCGCCTTAAACACAAACTTGACGTGTAAACAGCGTTAGAATGACAGAGCTGCTGCACTAAACACTCCAAATAAAACAGCCTCAAAGGTGTTTGTCTTCCCGTGAACCTGGAAGGGCAAAGACAAAGTTCTCACCTCTGTACTTGGTCACCACGGTGGAGTTGAGACACTGCGGCTCCTGGAAGGTGACGGTCAGCGTGGTGCTACTGCTCACGCTCAGACGGACCATGGACGGGGCCTCCGGGGCACCTGAGCAGGGGCACAGAGAGAGAGGGGGGCAACCAAAGATAAACATATAGATAGAAACATCACATGAGTAGATGTGACTGGAGCAGGACGTCCTCAAAGACTGAGTGACCGAGCAAGAAGGAGACTAGAGAGGGAGGCCACCAGGACTCTACACTTCATCACAAACACACCATCACCACTGTGAAGCACGGTGGTGGCAGCGTCATGATGAAGCACGGTGGTGGCAGCATCATGATGTGAAGCACGGTGGTGGCAGCATCATGATGTGAAGCACGGTGGTGGCAGCGTCATGATGAAGCACGGTGGTGGCAGCATCATGATGTGAAGCACGGTGGTGGCAGCATCATGACATGAAGCACGG